TAAACACAATATTCTGCATTGTCTTCAAATGACGCCCATCTGAATCACAGCTCATAATCTTGATGCCTGATTTTGAAGTAACCCTTGACATAGCAACATACAACTGTCCATGTGAAAATACTTGTTTTTGCAGACATAACCCAACATATTTCAATGTTTGTCCCTGGCTCTTCTTGATGGTCATTGCATATGACAATGCAATCGGATATTGCCTACGAACCAATGTGAATTCAAACTCTTGTAGTGAGTTGATAAAGATAGACGTGGCAGAAAAATCGTGTCCCCAATATGAGTACCAGTCAGTATTTCCACTTCAAGAAACCATTGGCCCAATCTCTTTACTATCATCCGAGTTCCGTTACACAAACCGGTACTCTGATCCATATTCCTTAGAAGAATAATAGGGCAACCAATCTTCAACTTCAATTCATGTTCAGGAAAATTTCCAATCTGTAAAGAGTTTAGAAATTCAATAGAATAATCACCCTCCATAACATGTTCATTCTTAGCATCAATCTCAATTGAGTCAGAACTGAAATAAGATACTTCTTCTCCCGGAAATTTTCTCAACACATAATTATTAATCGTCGAAACAGTGTCATGGTGAGGTGCTAAGATAGCACGCTCCACCAAATATTCCGAATCCTTGTGTCTGCTCATCAATTCAGGATAAATTTCAGCAACAATGTCTGAAATAGGATCTGAGTTGCGACTTACACTTATGTCAGGTGGTATTGCTACAATGGATTCACCAAAAATATTACTTTCCCTACCATCACCAATCTCCAGCAGCCAATTGCTACAGTTTAAGATTTCCGAGCAATCATTGGGTTCTCCAATACGTTGGGATAATCTCATATTTTGAGTCAATTTTAACACTATCATGAACTGGCACAAATAAGACATTTTAATCGATGCATTGACTATAGCAGTTCGTGTACCTTTAACAATGATAGGCAATGTTTGCCTAAAATCACCTCCAAAGACCATGGTAATACCTCCAAAAACTTTGTTCTCTGAATCAGCATACTTGACACGTAGAATATCCCTCAATGTCTTGTCCAATGCCTCTATACTGTGTTTATGTGCCATGGGTGCTTCATCCCAAATAATAAGAGATGCCTGCTGGATCAGTTCTGCAAGTTCGCTACCTTGTTCCATATTGCAACCTGACTTCGAATCACATTCTATTGGGATATGAAATCTTGAGTGTGATGTCCTTCCCCCAACCATTAACAACGCTGCAATTCTTGATGATGCAACACATAACACAATCATTTTTTTGCAATCTCAAATGTGCACAAATAGCTCGCCACAAGAATGTTTTTCCTGTACCACCATAACCATCAACAAAAAAACAACTTCCTTTATCTGTAAGAACAGATTCTAAAATCTGATCAAAAGCATTGCGTTGATCTGCATTCAAATTTGAAACTAACTCATCAGATACATTGTCTCCATTCTCACACATATAATTCAACTCAACAGCAATCATTCTGTTGCAACATTCAGCTTCCATACATTGATTAGGAATCGGCAATCCAGGAAAATCAGATAATGATTTAGAATGCTTATGCAACAAATCATTTATTTGAAGCAAACAAAATTCCTGGATGGCATCTTCTGTCAAAGCCAAGTCAGGCATGTTAAGGTGAGTACGTCTTGAGTGCAATATATCATCACTAAGTATCTTCCAATTCTTGAGCCAAAAAGCTTCCACATTTGCCACTTCACAATGAATAAGAATTGTGACAAAAAGTTTACGTAGTTTAAAACCAGATGCCCAAAATGATACTTCTTGTAGACAATCGTTCCATTCTGAATCTGCAGCTAGGAGGCCTCTTGCATAACATGCTTTCTGGAATGATTCATATATTACCCCGTTCACAGTTCTGATATCCTCATATGTACAACATCCCCGAACAACATGCAGTAATATACGCAGGTAATACCTCTCTTTCACTGACGGATAACAGTAATATAATCGAGCAATACACATCCCTTTTTTACGTCTTTGCTACTTCTTGCCTTTCTTCTCCTAGACATAATACTGCGGCATCTCAACAAACGTGTCTTTTTGAGCGGCCCTTGACTTAACATTAAGCTCCATCCATGCCAAAAGCATTGACGTATTAGCACGCTCCGATTCTATAACATCCTCCACAGAGGAGTTTACATTTGAATACACTATATTCTCACCAGGCAAATGAAATGACATACGAAGCACTGGTGGAGACTGATTATAGATATCAAACCTAAATATTCTCCAACTCGCCTCACCTGATGTGATATATCGAGCATCCATAAATGCTTTAATTTCATCAATCTGTACCACTTTCTTAGAAGACTCACTATTCATCTCTGACGATGCTGCTTGTTGGGCTGCAAGTGTGGCCATTGCACGATCCTCAGGTTTGTTTATATACTTGAACAAATATTTTACAGCTCTGCAAAGGATAAAATCTAATAGATTACATTGCACATAAAAATCAATTTATATGATTTTAAGAATGATTAAAATCTATTCTATGAACAATTGATTGCTTCCTAAATATTAAAGAATATAATGGTTACATCATAAAAAGCAAACCTACGGGTGTACATTCTTAAATTATCAAACATATTGGTTTCTAATTTAAATTTGTATTGAACTCTAAATTAATAATAGTAAGAGAAGACAACATATTTTAAACATACCTTGTTTTGTTACATATCTCAACGTTTATGTGAGCACCAAATCGCAATAACAGATAGCGATTATAAGGTACAACCCACCGATTATCAAGAGCAACACCTCCACTGCTAAACGTCCTACCATTGTCTCTTCACCGATACCTAGGGAAACCATTTTCATCAATGGTAGTATGCGTACAAAAATCCTTTGGATAATGCTTGCTACAACGCCCATTCTTCATGCATAAATTATTTGGATTCAGTGCGCCACAAGGTCCATGCATCATAGATGTTGTAACAATAGCATAAAGTTCAGGATCAAGATCAGGATCAGGTATTTCAGCAGAAATTATTGTATCAATATCAGAAGGTCCATGAAACTTATTTTCTTGGGAAAGGAATAACAACGTATGTGCATGAGGGAGACCACGCTTTTTCCATTCAATTGCTTTTACATCTGTGAATAATCAATAAGCACAAAATACCAAGTTTTATAAACAGTAATTAGCCATATAAAAATAATAAAAAAAGTCTATAGATAATTTATATACATACATGCAGTTATCTTGCCGAATATTTCCTTCTTCTTGATCTCCAACATAAACTCATCGACCTTAATCTTGAATACCCTTGCTATAATATCAGCACGGTTTGGATCTTTCCCAGAATAATCTCGAATAATATCAACCATATTTTGTATCTCAGGCCAAATGGAGTTGCAGGTGAATGTAATAAACAAATCTGGATATCCCAACCATTTGCAAATCGCCATAGCATCCTGAAAATTTTCATACTTATATCTTGGACTACCTGTATGAGTTGCAGCCAAAATCACAGGCCTCCCTGACAATTTCAGATCATTATCACCACGCAAATAGGAATTTAACAACCCTTGGTAATGATGTTGCAAATCGCCATAGCATCCTGAAAATTTTCATACTTATATCTTGGACTACCTGTATGAGTTGCAGCCAAAATCACAGGCCTCCCTGACAATTTCAGATCATTATCACCACGCAAATAGGAATTTAACAACCCTTGGTAATGATGTCCTCTCAACCTTGATTGATTGTTTCTCATCCAATCTAACCGTTCAGCCTCTATAAGAGCATAAGCATTAACAACATATTGTTGAAATAACTTTCCAGCAAGGAACAAAGAATTTGATTCAGCAAGCCTAGTCTGAAGTCGATAACAATAGTAATCACATTGAGTTATCATTCTCTCTCCTGCACCAGCAAAATCTGTGATTGCTAAGTATAAAATACCGGGATGCCATCCATCCTGTCCATACGAGAACAAAACAGGATATTGTAACGCCATTAGACTGGGATGATATGGACTAATTCTCTCCATTTCAGTACTTCGATGTTGAACAATAATATCAGGTGAAAAAGTCTCTTCTCCTGTCTCATCAACAATCAATGTTGCTATCTCACCTGCCGAAGGTAAATCATATTTCCTACTATTGATTTCACGTTTTGCCAATAACTTCAGCTGAAGCTCCTCCACACCATCCTCAAATATCCTGTCTCTTGCAGACCGGAATTGATGAACCAAAATATTATGCGTATCAAACATATCTTGCAAACCTTCAACAATAGAAGCACGTAATGGATTCTTCTCAGGATCAAATGAGTAGAAGCTCAATCGATTTTGTACCTCGTTGTCTGAATCGTGAATATACAACTGTGCAAATTTTGGACTCATCCCTTCAGGAGGAACCAAACTTCCAATTCGATGATAAATTTGACCACCAATTGAGAAAACATAAACACCTCGGTCGTCATTAATGGAGGGGTTGACTTTACCACCAATAGATATGAAACAAAACACTCCATTATATCCTTGAATATTAGTACGGAAATGACGCGCTTCTGGGGTATCACCTTCAAGTAACATTTTCAGGAATTGAGGAGGATGCCTACGAACAGGGAGCTTGACCATCCCATTTCTGCAACACAATGAAAATGAAGGCGTGGAATAATTTCTTGTAGATGAAGTGCTCTCCAATCGCCACATGAGAGCACCACAATGCTGACAGGTACATGATGGCGGACCAATATCAAAATATTCAACAACAGGGATACCTATAATAAATTATAAAAAAGGGATAACTATAAGCACAAAAATACTTAGATTAATACTATGAAATCAAACCATACCAATAAAATAATAATTAGTAATAAAATATGCTACTTCCATGCTTTACCAATGCCATATGAAAAATTCCTACGAATAAAAAGAATTGTACGTAAATGCATCATGTTTCAGTGGTAGAGAGGGAAAAACTCCAATGACAATGCAAACTATATATAGGTACAAAATTACAATACAATAATCAAAGTCATGCAAATACATAGTAGTCTAACTAATAGATATAAATGAAGAAAATTTGGAGTATAGATACATTTATACAATTCCATCTCAACAATTATAAAAAGCTCCCCTCCTAAATACAACATACATAGCTTTCTTTGAGTCTGAAAGTAGGTTCTTCCCAAACGTTTTCTATGCAAGTGAATGCGGCGCATTAGTCTACTACGTTTGCCCAAAAGCGTGGCAAACTCCATTTCAACACCAGTACCACCTGGAAAATTACCAAACCGACTGTACTGAGCATATAAATAAATACAAAACTATCTTTACAGAGAAAAGAAGATAAACACTTTTACAAATGGCTACCTTTACCTTCAACAACAGATCGCCTCCTACGTCTCTTATCTTGAAGAATAATGAGCCTTCTTCGTCGAGTAATTTGAGACAACTTTCTGGAAATGGACATGAGTTCGTAGTGCAACCGTTTCTTTACTACACACCCACATAAAAATTAAAACTATAAGCACAAATCACATCAAGGTATCGTCACAATGTAATTGCATATGACCATATGTACCTTTGTCATAAACTTCTTCATCTTCTACAGACATGACAAACCTTTGATTAGTGTCTTCTGGATTATAAAAGATGGCTCTCCCTTTCCCTGCATTACAACCACATTAGAAAAGCGCATGATAAGGCTCCAAAATTCAACTACACTACAGTTAAATATACACAAACACACAAGGGGCAGATGTTCTATTCTGTTGTGGTTGGCCAGAGGAAGCAAAACGTGGTGTGTGGCAATTCTGTTCACCTACAAAATCAGCAAATACAATATACTGAGCACTCCCCATATACAAACATCCTAACTGGAAATAGTACTGATTCGGATTAAACAAATACCTTCTTCAAGAGATGCATCAGTTTGTATGTGTAAAGGTTGCGTACTTGACTCCCCATAATGACATTCCATTACAGTCATATTAACAAAGGCCAACAACAGTTATAGCATGCGAGGAGTCCACACAATAACCTTTAAAACTGGAGAGATAATAAGATCCTAGCTGGGAAAAAAGAAATAGCAGTCAGGACACAGAACAAAATGCAGCAACTTCCAAAAAAACAACGCCAAACCACCAGATGGTTTCATACACTACAATGATAGGTTCATGCCAAAACATATATTCAGACAGCAAATTCATATTGACACGACATAAAATTATTTATAAACATGATCCAACCATCAATGAAAACAGCAAGACAAAAACTTTAATTATCCTTCTGCTAGGCAATTCGCCAATTCAACATTGACCATCAATTTTCTCAGGTAGTTTTGTGTTATGCCAAAAAATATGAAGCGAGGGTTTCCAATTACCAAGTGCATGAGATAGATTGGACACATACATCTGAAGCGGGTGTGCTGCTGCTGTTTTCTTGAAGCGGTGACTACACAATCACCAACATTCAAAGCACCCAGCGGAGAATTAGAAAGAGCAGCAACCATCGCCAAAATCAAAATGAGGGTAACCTAATTAAGAGAACTTACAGAGGCAGGGCGATTCATTAATCTCGCCAACTGGGATGTAACAAATTCGTCCGGCAGGGAGAGATGCAGCAGAAGGATCGGACGCGCAAATTCAGCTCCTCGAGAGAATTAGAAACTTGTGATAAAACACACAGCCTTTTGGGTTATCTCCTATCTCTATACCTCTTTGAATTTCGCTTCTAGGATCAGAAAATTCCGCCGGAATATAGTTCCTCGCGATAACCCCGAAGACCACCGCCGGCCCTCTTCTCTATCGATTATCTACAATCTTTGAATGTGCTCTGCAACGCTGGGAGGAATGAGTAAAGTCGCCTTTGCCCAATCTTTTGGCCCATGGAAAGCACATCAGCCCAATGAAGGAAAATGGGAAAGAAGCCCGATTTCTCCTCACTCAGCCAATATTTCCGCCTGCCAACTTTACCCTCCCGCAAAACGCTCTGAGGTTCTGAATTTTGAAATGGGGCTTTGGTTCTTGGATACCAGCTTTTACAATATGTGTAGATGCATCTATCTCGGCCTGTCGGTGTGTGTGACCAATTCAGTTTCTCTCTCAAAAACAAGTTGCCGAGATCATTCGGGCTTGCTTTCCTTCCGGCCCATATGAGATTCATGCGGGGATAGGCATTATAGGGCTAGTTTGGTTTACTATAGCTTTGTGGTTAGAGATTTTAAAGAATATTTTTTAATAAATCAGTTAGTATTTCACCGAATAACTTTTTTTTTTAACAAAAGATATCATATATTGATCATAAAAAGGTAGTTACTGTTTCACCCCGGAATGTACCGCGGGCTTAACATGATGATAAATGGGGGCTCCGATCTGGATTTCCTTGTTCGATCTCTTCGGGACGCGAGGAACCTGTGAGGCGGGGGGCGGCCCCCGGGATCTACGCTCCGATGCCCAAGTTAGTACGATATATGAAGCGGTTTGTGGTATGTAGAGAGAGAGTTTAGAGAGAGACCTTGGGGTATGAGTGTGGGAAAAGGAAGAGGGGATCCCTTGGTTTGGAGGCATGAGTCACCTTTTATAGGAGTCTAAGGCTTCCTTTCGTGGGCTTGGGCCCATTGGTGACGTAGTTGTTTGTCATATTAGGCGGATTAATACCACACCCAACAATTGCCCCTTTACTTCTTGCATTCTGTAAGAATGGAAGGAGTAAAATAATATCTTAAACTGTATTAATCTGTCGTACTCATGAGACTTGATGATACATTTGCCCTTTGAGCCTATCGAGAGGCATTGTACTTCTGAGCGTGGTTGATGTGTTTTGCCACCTTGTACGAGTTGTGTGACATTATCCCTGCCCCTTGCTTTGATTTCGATGACTTGAGTTAGAGCTCTCAAATCGTATGATATTTGCCCCACTAGCCCATTGTTGTTAACTATGTGCTGGGGGGTGGCCCCCATCACTTGGGAGCTATAATTCAAGACATTCCCGGGGGCGGGAGATGTATATTTTTTAGACTGGTCCGGAGCTTTGTCTTCCAACTTGTGTGGAGGCGTTTCTTATTTTGAGCCTGCCGGGAGGCATTTAAGCTCTGAGCCTGTTGGGAGGCATTTATGCCTGTCGGAAGGCGTTTAAGCTTTGAGTATGCCGGAAGGCTTTTATGCCTGTCGGAAGGCCGGAGGCGAGAGGCGTGTGTCTTCGTACCATGGGGCGTTACTCCGAAGTTGTTCTGCCTTCGCGGTGGCGTGTTATGAAAAACTTCATGCCTCGGAAGGCATTTTTGTGGTTGGGTTGTTCTTCCTTAGGGGTGGCGTGTTATGAACAACCCTGCCTCGGAAGGCATTTTATGAGTCGCTCTGACTTCGCGATGGCGTTTTATGAGCGATCTCCTGCCTCAGGAGGCATAAGTCTTTGACCCAAGCTTGGAGGCGTGAGGCATAAGTCTTCAAGCCAAGCCCGCAGGCGAGAGGCGTATGTCTTCGTGCCTTGGGGCGTTGCTCCGAAGTTGTTCTGCCTTCGGGGTGGCGTGTTATGAACAACTTCATGCATCGGAAGGCATTTTGTGGTTGGGTTGTTCTGCTTCGGGGTGGCGTGTTATGAACAACCCTGCCTCGGAAGGTATTTTATGGAGTCGCTCTGCCTTCAGGGTGGCGTTTTAGGAGCGATCTCCTGCCTCGGGAGGCATAAGTCTTTAAGCCAAGCCCGGAGGCGTGAGGCATATGTCTTCGTGCCTTGGGGCGTTGCTCCGAAGTTGTTCTGCCTTCGGGGTGGCGTGTTATGAACAACCCTGCCTCAGAAGGCATTTTATGGAGTCGCTCTGCCTTCGGGGTGGCGTTTTATTAGCGATCTCCTGCCTCGGGAGGCAAAAGTCTTTGAGCCAAGCCCGGAGGCGTGAGGCATAAGTCTTCAAGCCAAGCCTGGAGGCGAGAGGCGTATGTCTTCGTGCCTTGGGGCCCTGCTCCGAAGTTGTTCTGCCTTCGGGGTGGCGTGTTATGAACAACCCTGCCTCGGAAGGTATTTTATGGAGTCGCTCTGCCTTCGGGGTGGCGTTTTATGAGCGATCTCCTGCCTCGGGAGGCATAAGTCTTTGACCCAAGCTTGGAGGAGTGAGGCATAAGTCTTCAAGCCAAGCCCGGAGGCGAGAGGCGTATGTCTTCGTGCCTTGGGGCGTTGCTCCGAAGTTGTTCTGCCTTCGGGGTGGCGTGTTATGAACAACCCTGCCTCGGAAGGCATTTTATGGAGTCGCTCTGCCTTTGGGGTGGCGTTTTAAGAGTGATTTCCTGCCTCGGGAGGCATAAGTCTTTGAGCCAAGCTTGGAGGCGTGAGGCATAAGTCTTCAAGCCAAGCCTGGAGGCGAGAGGCGTATGTCTTCGTCCCTTGGGGCGTTGCTCCGAAGTTGTTCTGCCTTCGGGGTGGCGTGTTATGAACAACTTCATGCCTCGGAAGGCATTTTGTGGTTGGGTTGTTCTGCCTTCGGGGTGGCGTGTTATGAACAACCCTTCCTCGGAAGGTATTTTATGGATTCGCTCTGCCTTTGGGGTGGCGTTTTAGGAGCGATCTCCTGCCTCGGGCCGACATTCTCGCTTCCGCTTCATCCACCACCGCTCGCGCGGATGCTTCCCCCTAAGGCGGAAGGGGAGCATCCGAAATACGCCGGGGTTGTAAATGACATAGCGCTTTCCTAAACCACTTCCCGGTCAGTTGCTGAAAGATAGAGAGAAGCTTTCTAAATGAGACGAAAGGCCGACCCCAGCGAATAGTCCCATGCTGGAAGAATAGAAACCTCTGGGTGTTTGAAAAATCCCTCGCTACGGAGCAACAGGAGGAGTGCAAAGCCTGGATGGCTTGGTAAGCAAGCAATCCGTTAAACGGCGCCAACTCCCCATTCTTTCTTTTTTAAAGTCACGATCCGAAAGGTTGAAATCCGGCACCTAAGATCAGGCCGAAAATGCCCGTTTAGAAGTTGGTGCTTCCCCAGAGAGGATAAAATCCACCAGCTTATAGAAGAAATGTCCCGGAGCGAGCAAAATAAAGTCAAAACAGGCGGACAAGCCGCGGATCTATTGTGCAAATAGAGGTATGATCCGGTATTCTATTCCGTCTGTGCGAGCATTCAAAGCCCGAAAAGGGGTTGTGGATACGGCTGTACGAACATCCGATGCTGGATATCTTACGCGCAGGCTTGTTGAAGTCGGCTCTCCTTTCAGTCGAGGAAGACCCGAGCTCTCTTCACCTGGACGAACAACCAGGAGTTGAATCCAATTGCACGCAACCAACCCCCAGGAGTCAACTGTCCCGTATGAGCATTCAGTACATGTATCAGTCCTATCTATAGCTTTAGTGGGACCTGTCTATCCATTATCCCAATCCCATTATCTTATCTGCAGTGCTGCTTCATTCCCATGATTAAACTCATCCTCAACAGCCCTTTCTGGGACATCGAGGGGAATCCTGCGGCTGGTATCCGGAGAGAATGTGAGGCTGAGGCCGCCCCATTCCTTTGCCTCCGAATCGAAAAAGACGAAAACTGTATCTTAACATAGTGTCTTGGCTTTGAGGTGGTTTGGGGCAGTCCTTGGGGATACTTTCATCTTCTATTTAGCTTTTTCATTCCTTTGCAACCGGTAGCTTTGCCCGAGCGGAACTTCCACCGAGACGAAAGCCAAAGGTGAGTCTCGTAGGTGGACGTATCGAATCGAAATAAGATCTCAGATTGACATCTTGATACACTGATTTACCATAATAATAAATAGAGTCAATGGTTACTCCGCCATGGAAGGAGCCACTTCTTTCTTGTGGAGGCATAAGTCTTAAGCCAAGCCCGAAGGCGTGAGGCGTATGTCTTCGTGCCTAGGGGCGTTGCTCCGAAGTTGTTCCGCCTTCGGGGTGGCGTGTTATGAACAACCCTGCCTCAGAAGGCATTTTATGGAGTCGCTCTGCCTTCGGGGTGGCTTTTTATGAGCGATCTCCTGCCTCGGGAGGCAAAATTCTTTGAGCCAAGCCCGGAGGCGAGAGGCGTATGTCTTCGTGCCTTGGGGCGTTTCTCCGAAGTTGTTCTGCCTTCGCGGTGGCGTGTTATGAACAACTTCATGCCTCGGAAGGCATTTTGTGGTTGGGTTGTTCTGCATTCGGTGTGGCGTTTTATGAACAACCCTGCCTCGGAAGGCATTTAATGGAGTCGCTCAACCTTCAGGGTGGCGTTTTATGAGCGATCTCCTGCCTTGGGAGGCATAAGTCTTCAAGCCAAGCCCGGAGGGAGAGGCGTATGTCTTCGTGCCTTGGGGCGTTACTCCGAAGTTGTTCTGCCTTCGGGGTGGCGTGTTATGAACAACTTCATGCCTCGGAAGGCATTTTTGTGGTTGGGTTGTTCTGCCTTCGGGGTGGCGTGTTATGAACAACCCTGTCTCGGAAGGCATTTTATGAGTCGCTCTGCCTTCGGGGTGGCGTTTTATGAGCGATCTCCTGCCTCGGGAGGCATAAGTCTTTGAGCCAAGCTTAGAGGCGTGAGGCATAAGTCTTCAAGCCAAGCCCGGAGGCGAGAGGCGTATGTCTTCGTGCCTTGGGGCGTTGCTCCGAAGTTGTTCTGCCTTCGGGGTGGCGTGTTATGAACAACTTCATGCCTCAGAAGGCATTTTGTGGTTGGGTTGTTCTGCCTTCGGGGTGGCGTGTTATGAACAACGCTGCCTCGGAAGGTATTTTATGGAGTCGCTCTGCCTTCGGGGTGGCATTTTATGAGCGATCTCCTGCATCGGGAGGCATAAGTATTTAAGCCAAGCTCGGAGGCGTGAGGCGTATGTTTTCGTGCCTTGGGGCGTTGCTCCGAAGTTGTGTATCTGTGAAATATGCGAGTGGGAAGTGCCCCGTATTTGACGAGCATAAAAAACAAACATAGCATAGTTGAGAATATCCTAGCATGGTTATAGTGAGCCTCTTCATGGTATGAAATTGAAATACTTCTTCAAGGAAAATACTTAGCTTTGTAGGCAGTACGAAGTGATAAATAAAGGCGTTGGAAATTGTTGCACAAGTCTTTCTTCTATTAGACTGGTTGAAGGCGTTGCTGGTAGGGGTAGGATGTGTGTTCGAACCCAGTTGCATGCATTTTTCATTTTGTTGGCGCTACTGAAGCTTTGACGAAGTGGGCCCTTGAGCTGCGGCCTAGGAGTTGGAGGCGGGGCTTTGAAAGCGGACTGCGAGTTGGCCATTGAGCTGCGGCCCGCGAGTTGGAGGCGGGGCTTTGAAAGTCGGCTGAAGCTTTGACGAAGTGGGCCATTGAACTGCGGCCCGCGAGTTGGAGGCGTTGCTGGTAGGAGTAGGACGTGTGTTCGAACCCGGTTGCATGCATTTTTCATTTTGTTGGCGCTGCTGAAGCTTTGACGAAGTGGGCCCTTGAGCTGTGGCCCAGGAGTTGGAGGCGGGGCTTTGAAAGCGGACTGCGAGTTGGTCATTGTGCTGCGGCCCGCGAGTTGGAGGCGGGGCTTTGAAAGTCGGCTGAAGCTTTGACGAAGTGGGCCATTGAACTACGGCCCGCGATTTGAGGCGGGGCTTTGAAAGCGGGCCGCATTGTTTATTCACGTCGGAGAAGCGGGTGGTCGCGAAGTGGGCCCACTAGTTGTGGAGGCCAAGACTCGCCTTGGGTGGGGAGTGATCTTCGAAGATTCCACGAAATGATATTAAATTCCGATAGCGTAATTTTAATTAACAAGATTGTTGCGTAGCAGATTGGTTATTGCTTCTCCAAGTGGGAGGCTGGACAGTGGTTCGAATCTTGTCGGAAGCGTTCTCTTTTTTTTTTATTATTGACAGTGTTGTTAGTCCTCCAATGGGCCTCGTTGTGGAGGCGGCCTGGGCTCTTCGATGCGCTCCTCGTTAGTGGTGGGCTTTGGAGGACTAGGCTTGAGCTCTTCGGGTCATTGGGACGTGAAGCTGTGGCGGGAACGGGATGCGGGCCGTGAGGCTGATGGGAAGTGGCCCAACTCGCAGACGATTGGGGCTTGATTGGTGGAGGCCGCATTGTGATTGAAAACGGGCCTGATTGTGGACTTCTGAAGAGCTAGAGCGGTGCGGTTGGGAAATTGGAGTTCCTTCGCGTGGTGGGCTTTAAACTTGGTGAGTCTGCATCTGGCGGCCTGAGGCGGTGCAAGTTGGCGAGTGTCGTTGACGTGTTGTGCTCTCCTTGTTCGTGGTGGGTCAGAGGAACTTCATCAGCTACCTTGGGACCGAGAGCGGATCCCATGACCAAGGGGGGTCCTTAGTCATTTGACTAAGCCCCTCCTAGTCATTAGATCTGGACACTTCAATCCAATGGTTACAAAGTGGGAAGGACTATTTAATTAATGACAAGGGTAGTTTGGGTATTATGGAAAATTACAAAGTATACAAATTGGAGTTCCTTCGCGTGGTGGGCTTTAAACTTGGCGAGTCTGCATCTGGCGGCTGACCTGAGGCGGTGCAAGTTGGCGAGTGTCGTTGGCGTGTTGTGCTCTCCTTGTTCGTGGTGGGCCAGGGGAACTTCATCAGCTACCTTGGGAACGAGAGCGGATCCCATGACTAAGGGGGGTCCTTAGTCATTTGACTAAGCCCCTCTTAGCCATTAGATCTGGACACTTCAATCCAATGGTTAAAAAGTGGGAAGGACTATTTAATTAATGACAAGGGTAGTTTGGGTATTATGGAAAATTACGAAGTATACAAACCGGATTTACAATCAGTACAAACCATACAAACATAGGAACAGTACAAACTAGAGCTACAAAACATACAAACAGATTTACAAACATTACAAACGTATGAACTGTACAAACAATACAAACTAGACTGACAAACAATACAAACCATACAAAAAGAAAAAACAACCGGGTTGACTTTGGAGGCTACATCCCTATATAGAGGGGCTCCTTCCCAAAGTCAACCCGGGTGTTTTTTAGACATACAAACAGTACGAACATGGTGGACAAAAATGACAAACAAGACCAAAAATTCATACAAACTAGAAAAACACCCGGGTTGACTTTGGAGGCTTCATCCCTATATAGAGGGCTCCGTCTCAAAGTCAACCCGGTTGTTTTTTAGACATACAAACATTACAAACATGGTGGACAAAAATGACAAACTAGACCGACAATCCCTACGAACTGGAAAAAACACCCGGGTTGACTTTGGAGGCTCCATCCCTATATAGAAGAGTTTCATCCAAAAGTCAACCAGGTTGTTTTTTAGACATAAAAAACATTACAAACATGGTTGACAAAAATGATAAACAAGGTACACAAAAATAACAAAGTTTACAAACATTACAAAAAAAACCGACAAACAGTACAAAGCATACTAACCCTACAAAATGTCACTAAAAATGACAAACAATACAAACCGAATTTATACAAACATTACAAAATAGATCAGCAAACATCACAAATCTCTCTCTCTCGTTGCATTTGGGGGAAACAACAAAGGAATAAAATCCCCAGCAAAGGAATAAAAAGCCTTTCTCTCTCTGGGAATTAATGGTGCACAAGAACAAGAAATAATGGCGCCCAGGAAATGGTGGCGGCCAATTAGGAGACGGGAGGCGACGACACAAAGCAAAAGGCGCTGGTTTTTTTAATTCTTTTTATAATTAAAAATTAAAAATAAACATGCAATTACTACATTGCCCTTCATTAAATTAGATTAATAGGAGCCCTTA